TCTTACGATATCACAAAAATCATGGACAATCCATAGAAAAGCCGCACCTGACTAAAAGCCGCAGGGTTCAACGCTTGTGCAAAAAGTATATTGTCGGCTTATAGCCCGACAATTACGGTAATTAATATTGGAGTCTGCCAGGTGATCAGAAACACGACTCTAAATGATAAAAAGCTATTCTGTTATTTCACAACTGAAAATATTGTTTACAGCTTGATTCCTCCACCGCCTGCTGTTAAAAACACGATGTTCATGTGAAATACCATTAATAGTTAGTAGGAAACTCACAGGCCAGTGCATATCGATTCTAGGTCTCATCAGGCTCTAAAAAAAATACAATCTTTTGAATTATATACCAGCTGTAAAGGATATAAGTGTTTTATTGATATGCCAGGAAAGATGGAGTGTCAGTGATTACAGCTAGTTTGGATCAGTAAAGGAATCTGGGGAAAAAAAACAAGCTTTTGTGTGTGTTGGATTTGTGATGGTTGATTTAAATGCTGTGGGTATCTTTCTTTATTGTTTGTTTGTTTGTTTGTTTTTCCACCTCCAGCTGGTCTTCTGCAGATGGGAACGACGACCCTCTGGAAGCAACAAAAGACAGCATCTTTGTCAAGATCCTCCTCAAACTCATTCAGGAAGGTGAGAAACATTGATGAAGGCTTGGTGGATTAAAGAAATATGGGGAGGGGGTTCAAGCGTATTGATGGGAAAAATGGGTTTAAATGACACGTAAGTTATCCCTATTATGTCATGAGAGCCCCTTGTTCAACTTAAATAGCTGCATAGGCTCATTCCATATAGAACTAGTTTATCAAAAACTGTGCATAATACAGCTGAACACTTCTGATTGTCAAAGTTAGAGCACACATTTGGTTCTGGCAGGAGGGAGTCGGGCTCAGCCAGTAATCCCAGCCGGCTTAGTTTTAACTCTTCTACACGTTCTGTTGACGGCTCTTCTAAACAGTGGACCACTCAAGCCCTCCCTTTGTTTTTGAGTATATTATGAACAGTCATGAGCCGAAAGAATTCAGTTTTCTTTATCTGTATGGTCATCGAATCAAATGTATCCTTATATGAAAAATACACTTGTAATTACTAAACAGATGAACTCTTTCTTCTGTATTTTCCAGGCGTCTCTCTGCAGACCTACCTGCCCGACATCAAAGACCTCCTGGAGCTGGATGAGCTCAGCAGTTTGAAATCAAAGCCATATTTTGAATTTGTCCTTCGAGCTAATTATGAACATTACCTTCAAGCCCAGATGTAACAACCACCAAACCCACCAGTGACACATTGTGCGATTCAGCTTTTCTTTGCATTCTACTCACTCTCGGGATGTCTTTAAATTGTGCTCTTTTCTAAATAAATGTGTTGATTTTTGTGTACTTTTCAGTTTCACTTTCCTAGTATTCCTCAAAGACGCACAGCTGTGACACAGTTCACTGGCATATTTAGAAAAAGAAGTGCTGCTGTAAAGAAGATAGTTGTTTGTTAACAGGAGAGACAAGAAATCCATATCGTGATGCAAGACATGATTTCAGTTCTTTGTATCAAAGTTGTTTTGTTTTTAGAGAGAATGTATGACGGCTTTATTAACATTCACCACGTTTAGGACACATTTGTCTTATGACAATGAATCAAATTTGCTCTAATGTGTGTGTTTTGATTCTTAGTGGATACATACAAAAGACATGTTTGCATGCTGCAAGTTTGCACCTCCTTTTTCTAAGGAAGCCGTAATCATTTATAAAGAGAGATCCTCCTGGATGCAGCCATGTTTAGTGTGACATACCAAGTAAGATCAGGATAGGACAACCTACCACACACAACTAAAATAATCTTCCAAGTAAGAAAACAATATGACAACAGTTCCACAAAAGTAAAGCTTTCATTTCCTGCCTCTTTTTGTTTGTTTGTTTTTGTTGTTTTTTTTGTTTGTTTGTTTGTTTGTTTGTTTTTATTTGAGGTGAGATGGCAGACTTAAAAAGTGACACAGACCTGAGCCTCTGAGATACTGGCTCGAGAAGCTGCCCTGTACTCATCAGGGCTTCCTCCTGTTGGGCGACAAAGAGCAGATGTTTGTTATAAATAGATCTGAGCTCCTCTAGCTGGTTGACTGCCACGCTGACAGAGATCCTCCACAGTGATCCACTTGCACGGCTACACAGGCCACAGGCAGCTTTCAGGATCCAGCGCTGCTAAATATAGTCAAAGTAGATTAGATTGGCACTAGAGCTGCACATAACTGTCAATTTAGTTTGTATGACTCTAATCTTTCCAATGTTATAGGTAATTTACTTTTTATATTTTCAAATAGAGAATGATAACCCCAGAATAATTTACAAATGACTTCCTTCATTTTATTATGGATTTCAAATGGTTGATAAAAGAAAAATTCCTTATTATTATTGTAAGAGAAGAAAACAGGCACTATATGTTTAAGGCTTAAAAAAGGAAGATGGTAAATTCAATTCAGTTTCATTTATACAGCGCCAAATCACAACAACAGTCACCTCCAGGTGCTTTATACTGTAAGGTAGACCCTACATACAATCATACGACTCCCTATGAGCAAGTATTTTGGCGACAGTGGGAAGGAAGAAACCTCCAGAAAGAGAAATGGGAAAAAATAGTGTAACAAAACTGAAAGAACAATGTAGTTACATTGTATTCTACTTTCACCTGCTGTAGATACTGGTTCCACTGGACATTTGCATATTTGAATATAAAGGGTTCAAACTGTATGTAGTATGAAACAGGGTGAACTATTCCCTCTCAACCAGCTGCTGTCCTGCACACATGCTGATGCGTCATTAACAATAATCTGTTCACCTTAATGAAGCCTTTTCTACATTGTTCCCCTACATACATGTAAAAACTGAAGGATGTGCCCTAAATATGTTTTGGACTTTGCTTTTAAGGGTCAATGTTTACCCCATCACTGGACACTATCAGCCTTAATATTTTTAAATAATCAGTGTTATGTCGTATAACATTCAATCTGACTGCTGTTTTCCGGGAATGTACGTCTATGGAATCATTTCTCCTGAGATTTCAGCTCCCAGCTTTAAGTGTTTGTACTTCAGCTCCTTTCATTTTTTCAAATGACTTCCTTCTATGCATGTATTTTACCTGCTCTTTCTGATTTGATGCACCAACTTAAACATTTCAGTTGCAACTGTTCGCTTCAGCTGCTTTCAGGCCATTTGGTGCATCTTTGTGTCCTCATTTTTAATGTCAGCCATTACTGTAATAGCAGTAGTATTTGAAAATAAAGACATTTACAATATGCTTCATCAAAATTACTTTATTTTTTACGATTACTATATATTCTTATTTATCCCCTACAGTATGGGGTCCTCACTCATACTCTCATACTCTCATTTAATCTCTAATGTGATTCCCTTAATTTCAGTAAATGACTAAAGTAACACTTTGAATGATTTAAAAGGACTTTTCCACAAATCCAAGCAGTTTTTTGGAGATTATGTATCTGAATTTCAGGAACGGGCCCACGCCTCCAAACACGCTCCTTCCAGTTGTCATCTATAAAGGTTGCCCCCCAGTTCTGCAACTCATTCTCGTTTACGTGCCCCACCCTCCCTCCTTGTTCTCAATTCTTTAACTCCTTCCCTTCTATTTAGTACACGGGGATCTGCCAGGCCCAGGAGCCGTCGCCAGTCCCCTTCGAGGCCTTCCCCGAACCGCAGCTCAATTCAGGTCCAAGCGTTCACCTTTACCTACTAAAATGCTGTCAATCCTAAAATGAGGACGTGGGCCCAGCTAGTGAAATGAATTTTTTGGTGTTTAGGTGTTCTACTTTCCGGTCTTATTAACTTGTTCAGTTTATCATCGGGCTCTTTTTAAGAAGTAGAAAGCAGGCAGTTGCTATCAGCTCTGTGGTTGTATTAACCATATTATGTTTATTAAAAACCATTGCTCCATATTTTGATAGCATCTCCTATAGAGGAGTGAAGGTTTCTCATAAAGTGTCATGAGGCTGGTTTTGACCTTTTGCCTGCTGCTGAGGCAAGAACAATATTAACCGTATTAAAGAGAGGCATGTCTGTCTGAATATTGTCTGTAAGAGTGAAGGCATTTTAACACCAAATGTTTGAGTGACGTCGTCTTCACATTTGGATTCATGATTACAGTCTTGTGTCAAGTCATCGTCGATTTAAAAACTGGCCTCACTCCCATGAATCTTGACACCTCAGCGGAGCTCACTTAACAGTTGGATAAACACAGCCGGGACTATTGGCTCAGTTTTTGTCCCTCTGAGGATTTTTGTCTCAGTTTGCAGCTGTCCAGAGTGTTGGAGGTCCCGGCCTTTCTTGTTTTAAAAAGCAGAGCATGAATGTCTGCTGCTTGTACATAGAAGTTCAAACTGAAAAACAAAAAATAAATCTCTAATCGTAATGGCAATGATAAAGTTTGTTTTTTTCTAATATAAATTGTCCTGAGTTGTCCTGTTAAACTTTCATTTGGGAGCATCTCCAGAGGTAGAATGGGTCACCTGCTAATCCCCAGCTTCTGCAATCTGTGAAGTGTCCTTGGATGACATACTGAACCCCATATTGCCCCTGATGCGCTCATCAGTGTGTGCATGATAGCTAAAAAGTGCTTTAAGTGCTTAGAGTACAGTGGCGTGTGAATGGGTATCAGAGCATTATGTAAGTGTAAAAGTGCTTTGAGTGCTCAGTAAAAGTAGAAAGTATTACACTTCTCATGTAATGTGCTGTTTGTTTTCTGTTTTTTTAACTGTCACTTTCGTTATGCCTTCACTTAAAACACAAAAAATAAAGTGATTCCTCGGTTAAAATACTAATAAGACATGAAACACTAAAAAAAATGAAAAAGCTTTGAAGTACTGAATGGTTTGTGTGCGTGTACTGTGCGTTTGTGTAAGTAGCAGCAGTTATTCTACAGGTGACGGTCGGTGCGTCGCTCTGGTCTAGCTCCATACACGGGCTCGTGCGCTCCGCGGCAGCCTCGCGGGGACTTCCTCTCCATATATGGCCCACTTGGCCCGCGAGGCTCTACATGCATGCATGCGACGACCCTCGCGCGCGACCAAATATGGACGAAGGGCCAGTTGAATTCCTATCGAATACTCGGACATTCCAAACTACTGGGAAAAAGCTCTCCGGGTGGTATGGAGCAGAAGGTGTATATAAGGACCGTGGTGGTCGTAGCCTGTCACCCCAACACCAGCTGGCAGCCAACAAGGTTCCCTCAGTGACAGCCTGAGACACGCAGAGGTAAGCGGCTTGGAGGAGAGAGGTTCCCTGGTGGAGAGAGGGTTAATAATTGTAGCAGTAGTTAGGTGGAGTTACTGTTAATGGAGACTGCCTTCTTGCTAGGTTAAGTGAATGAGACAGATGGAGAATAATCTGGATTTAATGGTTAAGTGAAGGGAGCTGGCAGTGAACCACAGTCTGCTTAAGCTCAGCTTTTGTTGCGACAGGTAGTTAATGGAAAGACTGGGTTGTGTTCAAATGCTGTTAGAGATTTGTAGCACTTGTAACTTTAGCTTGGAATACAATGTGTATTTTAACATTTTATGATGAAAAGTGATAATAACAAATGTTGTAATAAAACTGACAGTGTCTATTCGTTTACTAATATTTATCATAATTAGTTACAAGTACGTTAGTTGACACTTATCAGCACATCAGTGCTTTTTGCTTTAGTTTCAGAGTGTTTACTAGTGAATAGAAAACACTGAATCCAGCAACAATACATATACTTTTTAAAGCAGCTTTTGAAGGATGATTCCTTTACAAGGGCACTATAATGCATATCAAGAAAAGACGAAACCAGATTTTGAAGTTTATGGGGAACACTTGAAGGCATCATTAAACTAATGGGGATTTAATAGCGTTTCTGTTTGCAGCTTAATGACTTTGTGTCCCGGCAGGTTGTGTAAATTGTTATGACACACAATCTAAACACTGGAGGCCTGAGAGAGGAGACGAGGAGAAGTTATAGTTATTAGCATGTGATTATTAGTGAAACAGAACAGGGGAGTCAGTGGTAGTAAAGCTCAGTGTCATACACTTTTTTGGTCATTTAGTTCATTGTAATGTAATAATTTATGTTTATTATATAACGAAAGAAAGACACCAAAACGTTATTACAATTAAAAAACTGCTTGGAATTAACATCAACCTAAAACTTTCAGAGTAAAAACAGTAGGCTGTTGAGTTTTTAGTCAAAATTAAAAAAGGCAACAAAACATACTCAACAAAGTGACACTAGTATTAGCGTTAAAATAATCTGTCTATTAAGAAAAAATTAAATTAATATCTAACATGCAACTGGTGTTTTGTTCAGTGTGTTAAGTGCTGCTGAGTAATCCTGCTGTACATAAATTCATCACATT